GGGCAGCCGACTGAGATGCCAGGGTTTGGGAGCGAGGAGTTGGTGGGCTGGGAGCGAGGGAGGACCTTCCCGCGTCACCTCCGCGCCCCGGCAGTTTCCTCGGTGCCCACCAGAAGGCGCCGAGACGCTCGCATCCCCGCGCGGAGCGGCAGCCCCCGCCGCGACTGGCTCTGGAGCTCAGCCGCGCGGCGCTGCAGTATAAAGAGCCGCACGGAGGCCTGAACCCTCCCTGCCCGGCAAGCGGAATACGGTGCCAGGGATCCCCGCCTTTCTCCCTGAGGTCCAGGTGCGGCGCTTTCCCATCTCCGCCGGCCACCCCGGCAGGAAACGCCCAGAGCCCCCCGGCGCTGGATCTACAAAAGCCGGAGAGTTCCGAGGCGGCGGGAGGGGTCGGGCGCCCTTGGAGGCAGGCGGGTACCGCACACCGACAGGCTCCTGCCGCGTTCCCGGTTGGGCCGCGGCCGCCCCTAGCCCCATGAGGACCCCCAGGCCCGGGAAGAGGGTCCGGCGCGGCCGGACCGAAATCTCGCCGCAGCCTTAGAGCGTGAGACAGGTCAGTGCCCGGGCGGGATGAAGGGCCGAGCGGGAGGAGGTGTGAGGAGGTGGGAGGAGGCGCGCTAGCCTGGCCCCGCACAGCCTCCGGAGTCCACTCCCAGGATCACCTCTACCGGGGGCATCCCATAACGCCGGCGTGGTTCTGCATTTTTCCTGACAGGCAAGGTGTGGAGCCGCCCTCTGCAGCCCACCCTCGCCCAGGTGATCAGATGTGGCGGGTGGGGCGCACGGGTCGGGGCGGGCAGCGAGCGTGGGGACGTCGACTGCTCTGATAATGCGGAGCTTTTCTACTTATGCATGGCCGCGTGGAAACCACCGTATCCGTGTGTCTCTTGCATCAAGATGCCAGGCCTTGGGTGTGAGAGGAAACCGAGATGCGGGAGAGGGCGAGAAGAAAGGAGGCTGGAGACACTGAGGCCAGGGAGAGGGGGGGTACCAGGGAAGCAATTCGCGCTGCAGATGGTAGCTCCTTGTCTGGAGCCAAGAGCGCCCCTGGGAGCCGGCCAGAGCCTCCGAGGTCACGGGGGTCAAGCGCCCCAGACCTCGCCTTCCCTCCCTCCCTTTCTCATCCTAACCCTACCCCCACCCCAGGATGCGGCTGGGCCGCCGTGCCCTCTGCGCGCTGGTCCTGCTGCTCGCCTGCGCCTCGCTGGGGCTCCTATACGCGAGTACCCGGGACAGCGCAGGCCCCCGGGCACCTCTCGGGTTGTGGGCGCCTCCGCAGGGCCCCCAAAGGCCGGAGCTGCCGGACCTGGCCCCAGAGCCCCGCTACGCACACATCCGCGTCAGGATCAAGGAGGAAGTGGTGGGGTGAGTGCTGTTGGGCGCAGCCTCACCGTACCGGCTGCGGGTGGACTGGGGGCTTTTGTTTCCTCCATTGTGAGGGGGGGGGTGGACCAGACGCCTACGTTCTCCTGACTGGTTGTGTGCAGTGAAATGGGAGGTGGCAGGGGAAGCTGCTGGCTCCTGCCGGGGGAAAATCTGTTCTCCCTGAAGTACGTCGTGGGAATGAGACGTCATGGGAGGCCCTGAAAGACCCCTCAAGGTCCTGATCCAGGCATGAGAAAGGTTCCAGCTGGAGACGTGATGGGGGATGAGCAGCTCTTGAAATCCTAGCAACTGGCCCAATTCTACACCTCAGCAAAATCCAGATTTAGAGGATGGGCCATCCCATCTTTGGTCCTTCCTCCTGAGGACTATTTGAAGAGTAGTTTTAACAGGGACAGATAATGGATGGGCATGGTTGAGAGACTACTTTGTGGGACGCTGTGTGCTTGTAGGATGAATAGAACTGTGAGCTCTGATGACCCGCCCCCTGCCCTCTGACTTTCAGGCTGCTGGCTCAGAACAACTGCAGTTGTGAGTCCAGTGGGAGGAGTCTTCCCCTCCCCTTCCAGAGACAGGTCAGAGCCATTGACCTCACTAAGGTCTTTGACCCTGAGGAGCTGAGGGCTGCCTCTGCCTCAAGGGAACAAGAGTTCCAGGCTTTTCTGTCAAGGTACCAGGTTGAAAGAAGGCATGCTTGTGCAGAGGGAAGTCTAGAGGGCGGCTGGGCAAGAGGGAGAGCCCCTCTCCTTCTGACTCTTCCTCTGTCCTCCCCATTGTCCACTGCCAGGAGCCAGTCCCCTGCTGACCAGCTGCTCATAGCCCCTGCCAACTCCCCCCTACAGTACCCCCTGCAGGGAGTGGAGGTTCAGCCCCTGAAGAGCATCTTGGTGCCAGGTGGGAAGGAGGGTCCTAGAAAATGACCTAGGATGGGGTGGGCGGGAGGGGGACAGAGCCAAGGTTGGGTGGGGAAGAATGAGGGAAAATTGGAATGGAAGGCAGAACTTCTGTCAAATGGGGTACTTGAGGTCAGAAAGTGCCTTAGAAGGTGAGGACATAAGGAATTCCAGAAAATTCAGAACACTAACTGGGGAGGTTTGGGGAAAAGAAGCCATTCTTTTTGAGGTAGATAGGTAGGGCAGTGCATGGGAGAAATACTGTTTTGATGAGGAGTCAAAAATCAGTTGCTTCTAGTCTTGTCACGCAGTGTGGCTTGTTGAGGCCTCAACAAGAGGTATGGGTGAAAAGTTTTGTGGTGTGTGTGTGTTGAAATAGGGGTGGGAAAATGAAGATGAATTCAGGGCTGTCTATGTGATTCTGATCCCCCATCCTTGCTCCCAGGGCTGAGCCTGCAGGCAGCTTCTGGTCAGGAGGTATACCAGGTGAGAGAAAGTAAGGCCAGGAGGCCAAGTGGGCATTAAGGATGCTGGGAGGGAGACAGGGCTGTGGAGGAGTGATGGAGAAATCAGGGAGGCAGGAGGCGGGTCTGGGGCCTAACCCTGCACTCGAATCCCTTCTCCTAGGTGAACCTGAGCGCCTCCCTAGGCACCTGGGATGTAGCAGGGGAAGTGACTGGAGTGACTCTCACTGGAGAGGGGCAGCCAGATCTTACCCTTGTCAGTCCAGGGCTGGACCAACTCAACCGGCAACTGCAACTGGTCACTTATAGCAGCCGAAGCTACCAGGCCAACACAGCAGACACAGGTGTGAGGCCTAGGGGAAGGTAGGAGCAGATGAGACAAACAGAGTGGACCCAGAAAGACTGGAGTGTGAAGTGACAGAGGGCGTGGGAGACACTTGGGCAATGGCCAGAGCTGCCCAGCCTCACAATGAACACTTCAACTGGGCCAGCAGAGCCAGGGAGGAAGAGAAGGGGCCTTTGTTCATCTGGGACTGGAGCAGGCCAAAGGGAAACTCAAGCCTTGGGGTGTCCTTCCCCCTCCTTTTTAGGCCAATGGTAGGAGGCCCCAGGAAGTGACCTGTCCCAGGAGCCAGAAGATTCAGGCTCTATTCCCAGCCCACCACTTTACCTTCCTGAGCTCCCATTTCTCTAGCAAAAGGGGCCTAACAGCCCTTCTGCTTCTCTCCAAAGCTTGATAAACTAAGTTTGCTCCCATCTTAAGACTGCGCTTGCCAGTTTCCTATACCTGGAAATTTTTGCTCCCCAATTTTTGCATGGCAGGCTCCTTCTTGTCATTTAGATCTCAACTCAAATGTCTCCTCCTCAATATTTACCAGTATCTGATTTTTTAAAAAAATTTACTTAGCCTGGGATCAGACTGACTAGGTTCCTATCAGCTTGATGCTTAGTAGTTGTATGAATGTAGGCAAGTTACTTTTCCATGCCTCAGTTTCTTTTTCTGTAGTAGGAAAATCTACTAAACAGTGCTGTCATGAGGATTTAAATGAATTCATATATTTAAGGTAATTTTTTAAAGGGCCTGACACATAGTAAATGGTCAATAAAGGCTAGCTTTTAATTAAAAACTTTTTATTGTCTTTCTCATGCCTGTTATAAAACCACAGGGGTAAAGACTTTGTGTTGCTGTCCACTAAGGCCTAGAAAGGTGGGACACAGAGCAGGCACATAAATGTTGATTGGCTAAAAAGAGATTGTTATCCCAGCCTTAAGGGGCAAATGCAGTGTCCTTTCTTCCCAGTACGGTTCTCCACAGAGGGACATGAGGCTGTCTTCACTATTCGCATAAGACACCCCCTCAACCCGCGCCTGTATGGGCCTGGATCTCTAACCCAGGGAGGTGAGGCTGGGGGTGGGCAGGGACATATTAGACCCAACCCTGGTGGGGAGCAGTAAGGGAGGGCACCTCTGGAAGCGATGTGTTCCTGCTCCTCTTTCCTCTGTCCTTGTCTGCACCCAACCCTGTGCCCTGATCTCAGCCCAGTACAACATCAGCGCTCTGGTCACTATTGCCACTAAGACCTTCCTTCGTTATGATCGGCTACGGGCACTCATCGCTAGTATCCGACGCTTCTACCCAACTGTCACCGTGGTCATCGCTGACGACAGCGACAAGCCAGAGCGTGTTAGCGGCCCCCACGTAGAGCACTATCTCATGCCCTTTGGCAAGGTGCGAAGCCAACAAGGCTGAACTGTGGGCCAGAAGATTTCGGCGGGGGGGCATCAATCTGCTCCCTCCAATCACAGGGGTGCCTGTTAGGGTGAGGATTCCTGGTATGTAAGCTCCATAGGGACAGGAATCCTGCCAATCATACTCTTTCTGCTTCTTAAAATGGTGCTTAGGCCAGGCGTGGTGGCTCACGCCTCTAATCCTAACACTCTGGGAGGCCGAGGAGGTGGATTGCTTGAGCTCAGGAGTTTGAGACCAGCCTGAGCAACAGTGAGACCCTGTCTCTACTAAAAATAGAAAAACTACCTGGGTATTGTGGTAGATGCCTATAGTCCCAGCTACCTGGGAGACTGAGGCAAGGGAATTGCTTGAGTCCAAGAGTTTGAGCTTGCTATGAGCTTTGACACCATGGCATTCTACCCAGGGTGACACAGTGAGACTCTGTCTAGAAAGAGAGAGAGAGAGATGCTTAATACCTACAGGGCACTCAATAAAAGAGGTGATGGATAGATGGATGGATGCACAAAGGAATTAATGCATCCCAAGACCCTTCTTCCTTTGCCAGAACAATGACTTAGAACCAGGTGGGGGAAGCCCTGCATTTTTTTACCCAGCTGCCAGCTATTCCTAAGCGCTCTAAAGTTTGGAAAGGGGCACAGGAGAGGAGTCAGGAGAAAGAAAGAAAGATGGCAGAGGGGATGTACTGTCTCTGCAGCCTCCCCAACCATGCCCTCTTCTCCCCAGGGATGGTTCGCAGGTCGGAACCTGGCCGTGTCCCAAGTAACCACTAAGTACGTGCTGTGGGTTGACGATGACTTTGTCTTCACTGCGCGTACGCGGCTAGAGAGGTTGGTGGACGTGCTGGAGAGGACGCCGCTGGACCTGGTAAGGGAGGGGATGGGACGTGGTGGGGAAGAAGTCCTTGAAAGGACTTCCACGGGGGGGGGGGGGGGGCACTGCAGGAATACCCAGCCCTGGGACAAGAGGATGATGAAGTGGGCCCTGCAGGGAAGAAGGGAAGAGGATTCGGCAGTGGGGCCACCGAGGGAAAAGGGTGCACAGGCCCAGCACGGTCAGTCTGCGCCGCTCCCGGAGCCGTCTCCCTCCCCAGGTAGGGGGCGCGGTGCGCGAGATCTCCGGCTACGCCAACACTTACCGGCAGCTGCTGAGCGTGGAGCCTGGCGCTCCCGGCCTCGGGAACTGCCTCCGGCAGAGGCGTGGCTTCCACCACGAGCTCATCGGCTTCCCAGGCTGCGTGGTCACCGATGGCGTGGTCAACTTCTTCCTGGCGCGTACTGACAAAGTGCGGGAGGTCGGCTTCGACCCGCGCCTCAGCCGCGTGGCACACCTGGGTGAGTGGCGCCCCCTTCCGGCCCGACCTGGAGAGGACCCCGCGGGGGGAGGCGGGGTGCGGCTAGGGCACAGCCGTCACCAGCCCTTCCTCCACGCCCTCCCCCTCCTGCAGCTGCCCCCGGGAACCCTAGAGCAGGTCTGCGAATATTTATTAAGACCTGCGCCCAGAGGAGAGACATTCCCACCCTCTCCTGGCCCTCATCCAATTTAAATCTCCACTCTCAGCTCTGCCGACGCTCCCGCTTGACCTTCTCTGTCACTGTCACCGCCGCCCCTACTCCAGTCCTAGCCGCTTCCCCTGGTTCAGACCACACTCGAAGCAGTTCATCCCGTGTTTATTGAACCTCTGAAAACAAGCAGATTGGCTCCATTTTACACTAGAGTAAAACTGAGACCCAGAGGAGTTAATTTACACCCTTAAGAGCCATAGAAAAAGTCTTTGCATAGGTTCATCGTCATAGGCTAGCCTCTGCACAAGCAGGACCCTGCATTGTGTACTTGCCTTTCCCCACCCCCAGAATTCTTCCTGGACGGGCTTGGTTCTCTTCGGGTCGGCTCCTGCTCTGATGTCATTGTGGATCATGCATCCAAGTTGAAGCTGCCTTGGACATCAAGGAATGCCAGAGCAGAGACTTATGCCCGCTACCGCTACCCAGGATCCCTGGATGAAAGTCAGATGGCTAAACACCGCCTCCTGTTCTTCAAACACCGGCTGCAGTGCATGACCTCAGAGTGATGGTCACCAGGGCTTTCCAACAGTCAGGCTGGGCCTGCCTCCTTGTTTCTGCTGGGGAGTTCCAACAAACCCCACCGCCGAGAAAGCACCCCACTGTCCTCACCCTTCCCCTTCAGAACCTGATCCAAAACAGGGACTTGTCCTGGTGACATCCTCCTTTCCCAGAGTGCCCAGGGGCCAGATGGAGCCATAACATCTCCCATAGCCAGTGCCAAGTCCTCTCCCCCACCCCATTCTCATGGGGCAGCACATGGGGTGGGGGGTTACTATCAAGTGCCAAAGAGTTCAGGGGGACTCTAAGAACCTAAAGTAGAAGCATGGTCCTCTCATATTCTTGGGACTGAGGGGTAGGGAAGCCCCCCCAACACTTACTCCCCGTCTCTGGATCCAGGACTGTACACTGGCCCCCACCCACCCCTACAGAGAGAACTTGTGACTCTGGAGCTGAGGTGGGGACTGGTGAACACATGGTGAAAGGCATTTTGTTGTTGTTGTTGTGTCTATGCAATGCCATGGGCCCTGAGGAAGGAGCACCAGGGTCTATGTGCAGACCCCAGACTCACTTCATGATCCCAGAGGCTCTCAGCTTCCTTTTATTAGTTACATTAAGTAAGGGGTGCAGGGCCATGGCTCTCCTCACACACATTGTTCAGGCCCTTTGCACTCCAAGTGTGTGGTCAGACCCACACTGTGCAAATCTTCGGGTCAGTGACCTCCTAAAGAAGAGAGGGGACATGTCAGGAATAGATTAGGTGCCCCCTCCCTTACTGAGATTTAGCAATCATCTGAGGGGCATCCCAGCTCCTTTGAGACCTGAGTTGTTCAGTTCTTCACCCATAGCTTGGCCCAGTCTCCCTGATCTGGTCTCAAATCCACTGATCATTTCATCCTCACCCCTTCCTTCTTGATTTTTCTCCTCTCCCCTTTTCCCAAATGTCTCTCGCTGGGTCTTCAGCCACTCACACACACCTCATTTGTCACAGCCCAACAGCTTTTGGCTCCCACGTCTGATGCTCCTGCACCCTTACCAGTCTTTCCAGGGCATGAGCAGCTGCATCTTGGACACTCACATACAGCTGTTCTGGGGTCACTCTGTCCAAGAGTCCTGCCCGGGTCAGTGTCCCCAGCACTGAGGCTGTGTGGGGAGGGCGTCGGGCTCTGAGGCCCCAAGTCCACACTGTGTCCTCTTCCCTCCCCTGACTGTCCAGTTATCCCCTAGGCGCTGGGCCCCAGCACCCTCCACGCCTCTTACCACTACACTGAGCCAGGAGAAGGTGGATCCCAGCATCTTGGCATCGGCTGGCCAGCTGTGTGGGTGGGCCAGAGTGGTTAAGTCCCAAATCAGAGGGTACAAGTGAGATGGTAAGAGTTTCTCCTCAAACTACCCTGTTTCCCTCACCTGTACCACTTCTCTGGCCCCTGCAGCATCAGCAAAAATGACACCACTGAAGTCTAGGACCACCACTCTGACAGGCTCAGCAACTAGGATGGGACAAGGCAAGAATATCCAGATGCTGCCACGGGTCATCTCCAAATATGCCCCCTTGTTATCCCATCTTACCTCTGTCAGGTGGACCATCCAGGTTTGTTGTCGCCTATGAGCAGAGAAGGGCAGTCACCACCCTCAACATACAAGCATAAATGTGTACCCCTTGAACGCAAGGATTGCCCTCCAAACACCCACCTGCCTCCCACTCCCAGAGGACCCACACTCCTTCTAAGCCAAGTTCTCCTACCTTGCCTCCTTTTCCAAGCCCCAGATGCCATTCTAGGATGTGGCGAAACTGCCCACGGGTCCCAAAGTAGAGCGGTGTTGGATAGCTCAGGATGCAGAGCCCTGGGACCTGGAGGAGCTAAGGGGTCAGAGGGTCAGAGAAACATCTGGATCTAATCTTCCCTTCCTTCTTTGGCTGTAGCCACCCACCTTGTGGCTCCCTTTGAGTGGCCTATAGAGCTCTGTCCCCTCAGCCAGTCCAAGTGCCAGACACTGCACCCTAGGGAAGAAGCTGGGGTCAGATTTGCAGGCTAGCCTGGCCTGGCTGGAGAGTCACTTCCAAGTACCCCATTCTCTTCCCTCCCCTAATCTTAACTCTCTATGCCCACCTCTGGGTGCGGCAGACCACGGTCATCATGGAGAAGACCACACCCACAGCCAGGCCCAGGTCCACACTCAAGGTCACTACTGCCATCCATGTGACCATCCATACAGCCTGCAGGACATGGATAGGGGTGGAGCCCAAAAGAAAGGCTGTCCTTCACTGCAGGGAAAGAAGCCTAAAGGCAGTGACTACCAAGGCAAGTGATGGGGAGGGATGGCCCAGGAAGTAGAAAGCATGACAAAAGGAAGGGACAAGACTGACCCAATGGGACACATACCAAGTGTAATGACCCCAGACCTCCTGCCAGTTGGGAGGTTACAAATATTCTTGTCTGAGGGGTTCAAACTACACCTGTTTCCTTGTCTCTAAGTAAAGGGTATTATTAAGGGGGGGATGGGGTTGCAAAACTTAGGACCATAACAATTGGCTTTGCTCCAGGGCAGAGGCAGGGTAATCTGAGAAGATGGGAAGGGGCAATCTTGGGGGTGATGCTGCCTTTTCTCACAAAGTCCACTCGGCTGATGCGCCACAGTTGTGGAAGTTCCTGCATCTGGAAGAACATCTGGCGCATGCTGGAGATGTTGATGCAAGCTAGGACAGCCTTCGGACAAAAGAGGAAGGCTGACTACTCCAGTGTCCTCAAATACAGCCTCCCCTCCCAGCTCTGCTCAGGCTCCTCTGCTTCTTACCTTGGGGAGATAATAGAAGAAGGGCCCCAGCCACAGCAGCACAGACAGGACCACTGTGCAGGAGAAGAGGCCTGCCAGCTAGAAGCAAGGAGGGATGGAGGCAAGAGGGAAGAGAACCCCTACCCTCACGTGAGAGCTGCTCTCCCTGCCCACTCTGCCTCATCTTCCTCAGAACTGTCTCACCTCCCAAATCTCCTTCCACACAGATAATCTTTTTTTTTTCTTTAATAGAGACAGTCTCACTTTGTCACCCTTGGTAGAATGCTGTGGCGTCACAGCTCACAGCAACCTCCAACTATTGGGCTTAGGCAATTCACTTGCCTCAGCCTCCCAAGTAGCTGGGACTACAGGTGCCTGCCACAATGTCCAGCTATTTTTGTGGTTGTTGTTGCAGTTTGGCTGGGGCTGGGTTCAAATCTGCCACCCTCAGTATATGGGGCCGGTGCCCTACTCACTGAGCCACAGGCATCACCCCACACAGATACTCTTCACTCCTCAACCCCCTTGACATTCTGCCATTCACACCTACACCTCCCCTTTCCCCAATTAAATGCTTGTTATTTACCAGTCTCCCCCTCCATGTATAGTTCAAGGTCCCTATTGTGTAGCCCACTTCTATCTTCAAAACCATTGTTGGATTACCCTGTTAGCAGTCTAACCACATGCTTAGGTGCCAGCAAAGTAAGGAAAACCAAAAATATTAGGGGGAGATTAGATGTGTGACATTTCTTTCAAAAGAAAATGTCCTCATGTGACTCACACCTGTAATCCTAGCACTCTGGGAGGCTAAGGAGGGAGGATCACCTGGGGTCAAGAGTTCAAGACCAGCCTGAGCAAGAGCAAGCCCATATCTCTACTAAAAATAGAAAAAATGGGTGGTGCCTATGGCTAGGTGAGTAGGGCACTGGCCCCATATACCGAGAGTGTCGGGTTTGAACCCTGCCCTGGCCAAACTACAACGAAAAAAAAAAAAAAATAAGAAAAGAAAAAGAGAAAAATTATGCAGGCATTGTGGTAGGCACCTATAGTCCCAGCTACTTGGGAGTTCTGCTGAGGCAGAAGGATCACTTGAACCCAGGAGTTTGAGATTTTTGTGAGCTATGATGATGCCATGGTCCTCTACCCAGGGTGACAGAGTGAGACTTCATTGCAAAAAAAAGAGAGAGAGAGAGAGAGAGAGAGAGAGAGAGAGAAAATAAAAGAAAATGTCCTCAGGGGAAAAAATCCCAAATTTAATCTTTTAAATTTATTTTACAGTTTAGAATTGTTCTTATTTTTAAATACCCTATAGATCTTTTCAGTGCTTACAGCCTATAGAGGTCTTCTTTTTTTCTTTTCTTTTTTTTCATCTTAAGTTATCCTCTTGTGCCTATAGGAGCCAGCCCTATTCTCAGGCTGACCTTACTAAACAGAGAGGGATATTGCTGTGTGTGCTGCCACACTACCCTGGAGCAGCTGAGCACAGGGGAAGCGCAAGCCAGTACAAGCCCACAAAGGTCTTCATGGAGCACTGTTATATTCTATCTCTCCTATCTAGATAATTCCATTCCCTCACTCAACCTCCTTCCCAGATTCCCATTCTTCTTTTGATAGACGCCACCTGGAAATTTAGCAGTCTTCCACCTGTTTTTCCACTGCCACCACCTGGCCTGTATGTTCCTTCCTATCTCCTCATCCAAGGATGCCCTCTTACCTGTGTGTTGCCACCAGCATCCACTAGTAGACTGGTGGTGGCCAGCGTGGCCGAGTTGGGAAAGCAAGAGAAGAGGGAGGAGATGAGGTTGGAGACACCATGTGCCAAGAGCTCCTAGAGGAATGAAGTGAGATGAATTGGAGACAGGTAAAGGTACAGGGGGAACTCAGGTTAGAGGGTTGTCTCTTTTTCTTTTCTTTCTTTTTTTTGGGGAACAGAGTCTCACTTTGTCATCCTCAGTAGAGTGCCATGGTGTCATAGCTCACAGCAACCTCAAACTCTTGGGCTCTTGAGCCCAAGCATCACAAGTAGCTGGGACTACAGGCACCTGCCACAATGCCCGGCTATTATAGAGACAGGGTCTTGCTCTTGCTCAGGTTTGTTCTGAACTCCTGAGCTCAGGCAATCTACCTGCCTCAGCCTCCCAGAGTGCTAGGATTACAGGCATGAGCCACTGTGCCCAGCCTAGAGGGTTGTCTCTTGAGTGAGGTTGGGGTCAGAGGCGGAGTCACACCTGGTTGAAGTCAACAGTGTAGCTGTACTTGTCTGCATAGATGGAGGCCAGGGAGGCGGACACAGCAAAAGTAACCAATGCAATGGGCAACGAATCAGCCAGAATCCCTGGCACCTCAGCCAGGTTGGGGAGGACAGGTTGGGGAAATCTGAAGAGGAAAGGGTGCATAGTAAGGATGAATTCAGTGCCACAAGGAGACAGAGAAGGCAGAGAAAATAGAGTGGGGCAGAACAAGACATGCTGCATGGGAGAGGAGAAAGACAGTGTTTTTTCATTCTCTCTTACCCTCCAGGCAACAGCCCCACTATCTGGACGTTGTATCTTGTGTCCAGAGAAGAGGTGAAGCAGAGCACAGAGGCCAGAAGCACCTGAGACAGAACAAAAGTTGGGCATGGAAGGAAGTGGGGCGCTCAGAAGGGTTGGGGTTAGAGGGGATGACATACAGTGCAGGAGCAGGACGACGTGGTTGCAGTATCCCAGCACCTGGGGAGTAGCAGTGTTTGGGGTGGGCGCCTGACCACTCACTCAGAGTGAAGGGGTTAGGGGTGAGAAAGGAATAACTGCATGCCCTGGGCTAGGGAGAGAGAAGTACCAGGGGATAACAAGAGGTACAACTGAGCCATTCTCAGTAGGAAAGCTGGACTATATCTAGAGATATATTGATATCTGTGGAGACACAGAATATTTAGTCAGGAGAGAAATTCAGGGGGATACACTGAATCACAGTGAAGGACTCTGGTGAGGAGAGAGGTGAAAGGAGGCGCTGTGGTCAGTGACACCTCAAGAGAGTGCTGTAGGAAGGAATAAGGCATTCTGAGAGGTCTGGAGGGGGCCCTATGGGAGAGGTGGGACAGTATGGATGGGGGATTCTGGAATGTCGAAGTGTTCTGAAAGGAGGCCTGGACAAAAACAGGTGTGATCAGGACCTCTTTGCTGTGACCGCTCTGCCTTCCACAAGGGGGCGGTAGCGGCCAGTTCCCACCGGGTAGACAGCGTCTGTGCGATGCAGGGGGCTGGCACTCACTGCCATCCTCACCATGACGACTTCCCCCGGGATCCGAGTGGGGAGCCTGTCTCGGAATCTCACGTTCAGTTCCTTGACCGGCACAAGCAGCGCCAGGCTGAGCGCCGAGATGGTCAGTTCGGCCGCACTGCTCCGGGGCAGTGCCGTCAGCACAGCGGCCAGCGTCTGCAGGCAGAGGCAGTGACAGAGGGCCCTGTGCTGGGGTCCCCTGCCCCTCAGCGCGCAGCCACCAGGCCGAGGCAAGTGAGCCTTCTCTGCTGGCTGCCATCAGGGCTTCCACCTCCACAGCCCCCTCATTCTGCCTGAGGTCCTTCGCCCTCACACTGTCCTTCCACCCTGGCTCCTGCCTCCTTTTTGAAGTTTCCCTCTTCCCTGGACCGCGAGAACTTCCTTCTCCGCAGCTCTCCCACCCGCACCTTGAAGAGAGAGAAGCAGCCGATCTGGCGTGGAAGGGACAAACCCAAAAGGCTCGGCAGCTGGGACAAAAGCACGTGCAGTGCTGCCCCGCTGGTCAGCGCCTTGACCACAGGCTCAGACAGAAAGGTGGACAGTGTGCCCAGCTGCAGCGCGAACATGGCCAGCTGCGGGGAGAAGATGCACGATCACCACTGCGAGGAGGAGCAGCCCCCCCGGAGCACACCGCGCCTCTGCCCCTCGAACCTGAGCGGGAAGCTTGCCCTGCCCTGTCCCCGCCACGCCACCACCCTTCCTCCCCAGGTCCTCCCTCACCATTAGCGCCCCGCTCCCGAAAGCCACCGACGCGGCCGCTCCAACCCGCTGAGCGTCCAACTGTTCCCTCTCGATTCCGCTCAGGTTCCCCCCGAGGGGTTCGGGCACCAGCCGCTCAACGGCCGACCCAGTCATGAGGCTGAGTATGGCGAAAGTTCCTGGAGCCAAGGCACAAACGCAGAGGTCACTAGCTGTGCCGCCGCCCGGAGCAGAGCTCCACGTTCTGGGGCCAGGGCGCTGCTGTCAGCCTCCTAGAAGTCCGCTACCCGCTGACGACAGCGGGGCCACGAGCTTGTGCGTCAGCCGTGAACCCGTGGGAAGCGGGAAAGAAAGGAAGGCACAAAAAATTGCCCCCTCCTGCATACTGTCCTCGTACTGAGCGCTCCTTGGGGCGGGGTGGAGGGGACAGACCGCGCATCTTTTCTTCCTCTCCCAAGTCCCGGAGATGTTCTTTTTAACCAAATTTCACAAGGGGGGAAATGTCCAAGTAAATTCTTATCTCTTTGCACCCGCTCCAGAGAGGAGCCTAGGTCAATAGTTCCGTGCCAGGGTTGCACAAGGAGGGGAGGGAAGGTGGATGAAGTGAGAGGGAAATAAGAGTTAGGAGGCTTACAAGAAGAAAAGCCACAACCTCCTGGTCCACTTTCACCCCGCAGAGAAGAGTCAATGGAAGTCCCTGGCCACTAACCTGTGGACAGGTGTCTCCCAGTACCCAGCAAACTGTAGATGAGGACGGGAAAGAAAGAAGTGTAGAGTCCCACAACTGGGGGCACCGAAGTCAGGAGGGCAAAAGCCATGCCTGGCAAGAAGCAGAAGGGAAGGTGCAGGGTGTGCCCAGTCTGTGGGACCTGTCCCTTTCTCACGTTCTGAGCTTAGAGACCGGCTTCAGGGATGCTAAATCAGGCCTCAAGAGGGAACCGACGGGTTAATGAGTCTCAGTGGGAGGTTGGAGTGGACAAGGTCAAGGATCCGTGTCGGTCCACCCCTGGGGGACAAGTGTGCGCCTCTCTCCATTTCCCTCAGCCATGTCCAAGGCTTCTGGTGGGACTGCGCAGAGGAGAGAGGTGGGGGTGGGGAACTGAGGGAGCTCCGCGGTCCTTCCCTCACACCTGGCCTCGGACCCCCTCTCTTAATCCCTCGGTGACACTAACCCACCACCTCGCTCCGGGATTCCTAGCTCCCCACCTGCTCCTCAGAGCCCTGAGCTTGGGTCCTCGACTGGCTGGTGTTGGGGCCTCTCACCCTGTGGCACGTGCACGATGCCCACGGTCACTCCGGCCACGGCATCCCCCAGCAACCAGGCCCGCCAACGGTAGTGAGGCAGCCAGTACAGCGGGGGCAGACGGGCCTGCAGCAGACGCCAGGCCCCGGGTGCGGAGCAAGCGCGGGCCCGCAGCCTCCACAGCCGGCACAGCCGGGGCAAGAGGGGCTCCGGCAGTACCTCTGGCTCCTGTTCTTCGCCCCCGAAGAGCTGCTGGAACCGAGCCTCGGTGAGAGGCTCCCTGAGCCTGGCGCTAATGGGGGACTTAAGGTCGCAAGCCTCTCCGGGGCCTGGGAAGGTCCTGACGCCCTGCAGCACACTCATTTTGCCCTTGGCTACTTCCAACTCCACCCGGTCTTAAATACCCCTCCGTTCCCTTAGCCCTGAGTCCCGCCTTCCATGAAGCAGAGACCAATCCGGCCCTGCAGGGCGCCCTCTCCGTGAGACCTTCCCGTGTCGGAAGAGAGCTGAGGCTCGAAAAGGCAGAGTCGCTATGCTAGGCTAGGCGTTTCCTCAGACACCCTGAGCCGGGTCAGGTCGCTGGCGGCTCTGGGGGCTGCAATGAGGGTGGCTATGGAAAGGTGCGGGGATCAGAGAGAGGCCAAAAGACAAGTGCACCCCAGCACCCAATGCCCACTGTTTACAGCTCCTTGGCTCTTTCACTTCACTCCATGTTCCTTTCCCCATCGGTGCTCTGGGCAGAGATAGAGGCTGGTTTCTCTTGGGTCACTGGTCCTTCCCAGAGCTGCAGCATTCTCCCAGAGAGAGCCAGAAAGCTCAGCACCCCATCCCAGATCCAAACCCTCATGGGGCATAGCTTGCCCCAAGGAAGTGTAAGGTCTATTGGCCTCAGCAGTGCACAAATTACTGAGCTGGGAAACAGCTGCATGTATTAGACAGGGATGGCAAAACCACCACCTCTGCAGAGAGTGGCTGGGCCTAGTTCAGGATCTCAGGAGAAATGGAGTACTGATAGGAAATTTTAATTTTATTTCTTAGGAGCCAGAAAAACTGAGCACCATTTATACATTCAAGCGCTGGTCACAAGGTTGGCACTCAAAAACACCCTATGTGGTTAAATTAGGTACAATGGGAGTCACCCATCCACCTTAGTACCCCTGTGGTTCCTAAAGAAATACAAAGGTTACAGGTTCCAGAGCTCCAGAATCCTATTTGCCACTATCCCCTCCCCTATTCACAAGAATCTTCAGTACCCCTCCCCATCACCCTCAGGTCCCCCAGTCCCTGACCCCAAAGCCCTGGGCGTGGGGTGCAGTGAGGGTGGGTCTCCCTTCTTCAATTCCTCCTATTGTTCCCCACAAGCCTTATCTGGGCCCTACGTCCTGTCCCCCCTTTACAGATCCCTCCCCCCATTGTCGGCCTGAGGGACCGCAGGCCCACAGGGAGGCTCCTGCTCCTCCTTACCCTCCCACCCCAGCAGTCTATTGTCTGTTGAGGAAGCCCAAGTACACGTGACTGAGCCCAAGGGATGAGTGGACACAGTGGACATACAGATGCACAAGGACCCAGGACAGGGCATCTGAACATGGATCTTGCATGCTTGGCTTTCTCTGTTCCAGTAGCTCCCCCAGAACCTGAGAGGGGTGAAGACCCCTTGGGCTCTCCCAAGTTTGTGGTTTAAAGAAGAATCTCCTGCTCTCTATGACCATGACTTATAACCTGCCAGACAGCAAAGATAAAGAGACCCAGAGCCGGGAAGTCACCACTCCCAGGATACTCTCTACCTTCCCGTTCTCCCTCAGCTGAATGTGGAAGCCTCAGAAGAAAAGGTACATTGGGCATTTTGTGCTTTAGTGTCTGGGGATCGGGGGAATGATGGACATTCACACTACACTGGGCTTTCTGCTGGGGTCTAGATGAGAGGGTGGGTGGAGCAGAAGGGCTGGGTACAGGGGAGAACCCAGCAAGAATCTAGGGCTTTGCAGTGACCCCAAGCCCTAGGGCTGCCATTGCAGGTGAGGGACAGAGATAGCACCATCTTTTTTATATGATACCCCATGCCCTTCTTCTGTCCCCAGACTCCTCCTCAGCTGATCTCTTCCATACCACCTGACCCCACTTTCCCCCTCTACAGCCTCCCTTTCCCTCTGCTAAGACAGCAGCTTTGGTGATATAACAAAACCTTTATTCTCAGAAACCAGGGAAAACCAAAATCAGAAACAAACCAAATCATTTCTATCTGGTCCCTGATCCTGCCCTCCCAGCCCAACCCCCATATCCTCCTTTTTGGGGGACTAAGACAGCATGCATAGGGGTGGGAGCTGAAGGAACCTATGCTCCTTGGACAGAAATAAGTCCTTTGGGGGTCTAGATATTCTCCTCCAAGTTGGTGTAACTCCCAGCCTTGCCCACTCTCCAAACACACCAAGAGGCAGGTCAGAGGATTGCCCTGAAGCTCCTTGAAGAAATGGCTGAGTCAGCACCACCCCCACAGCTATCACCAGTTACAGCTCATCTTCATCCAGCTTAGCAAGTCTGGCCTGGCAGAGAGGGGTGTTTGGAGTCGGAGGAACTGGAGGAGAATCATGAGAAGGCTGGGGGATGTCACTGAGGGTCTGAAGAAAGATTCAAGTCAGAGGATCAAAAGAGGCCTTGAATTCGCCACTCTCACTCCTGCCTTTTCAGTTTTTTTGTCTATTTGTTGTTAGAGACAAAGTCTCACTGTCAATCAGGCCAGAGGGCAGTGGCATGATCACAGCTTATTGTAACCTCAAACTCGGGGGCTCAAGCAATCTTCCTGCCTCAGCCTCTCAAGTAGCTGGGACTACCAGTATGTGCCACCACACCTGACTAATTTTGTTTTATTTCTTTTTAGAAACAGAATCTTGCTATGTTGCCTAGTCTGGTCCCACATTCCTCAAGTGATCCTCCTGACCCCTCCCACCTCAGCCTCCCAAATAGCTGGGACTTCATGCAAGAACCACCATGGCTGGGTAATGTTTTAATTTTTTTGTAGAGACAGGGTCTCACTATGCAACCCAGGCTGTTCTCAAACTCGTGCTTTGGCTTTCCAAAGTGCTGGGATTATAGGCATGAGCCACCCCACCTGGACTCTTTTCTTGAAGCCCCTAGCCTAGCCACCTCCTCTTGCTGGGTGTTTTAGATTATGTGACACTGTTGGCTTCCCAGAGTTAAACTGGTAGGGAGAAGGGTAAGGAGTGTGAAGTAGGAAGGAGCAGACAAAAGATGGTAGAAGAAAAGAATGGTATGAAGGAGAGAGGGTAGGGAATCCTACCTACAAGAGACTCTGTTCTCCATTCTACCATTATACCCTTACAACCAGGAAACTCTCGTCATACCTGTGTGTCCGGGGGTGGCGGGGCTCTGGCAGTCTCCCCTTTGGGCAACAGTAGCAGGGAGGGGAGAGAGCCATTGATGGGTATGTGTGTGCTGCCTTGTGCCCGGTCTCCAGGCCGAATTCTCCCAGGGCTCCCCACCCAAGGCCCTCCTGGCCGTCCCAAGCTGTTGGTCTGGCTCTCTCGTCTCTGGTACTCAATGGGTGACTGCAATGCTGGGACAAAAAGAGGAGGAGGGTTACAGCGGAGACAGGTCCCTAGGGGCTCAGCTTGTGTCATGCTCCCATTTTGCCCTCCCTCTCAAGGGCTGTCAACCAACTTTTAGGCGATTCTGAGTTACCAAATCTTAAACTAGTACTGGTAAAGTGGGGGGAGTTGGGGAGAAACTGGAGTCAGAGGGCAGGCGTTGGAGGTGGACTGTGAGGGATTCAGGTCAAAGGGCTGAGGGAGTATATGCAGGAAGATGAGAGCTTCACCATTGAGAAAGTCACGCTGGGTCTCCAGCATCTGAGCCACTTGCTTGATCCAGGCCTGACTTATGGCAGGGTCTGCAGCCTGCAGGACATAGCGCTGGATCCCACCCTCTGGCCCTCTGGAGGTCAATGCAAAGCGGCAAGGGTCACCTTGGAGGTTCCCCTCCAGTCCCAGGCAGCTCACCTGAATTGGCAGATAAAAGCCCCCAGATTCTCAGACACTCTCTAGCTCCTGTTCCCTCCAATACATCTAAGAGCCAGACATCGCAAAAGTCACATCCCATCCCAGTCTGAGCCCTTTCTTGAAGCCGCCTCCCCACCTTGATGCTGCTCTTGTACACATATCCAGGCTGTGTTCCACCTCGAATTCCTCCTCCCAGAGCCTCACTGAAGATGACAATTTGCTCAAAGAGGAAGACGCGCCTCTCACGACCCCGGGAAGAGAGCAGCCCCCCAGCCTCAGGCTCTGTGACCCAGAATGTGTCCTGGCCCAAGAGCTTCCCCTGGGCAGTCAGTTTTCCCTGGAACCAAAAATAGCAGCCTTCAAAGAAGAGAAAAAGGGCAATTCTCTGTTCCTTCCTCCCCTGATACTCCCGATCAACCATGGGATTACCCCAGGAGGAGACAGCTTCCCATAAAGACCTCCAGAGTGCTAGGACTGGGGCAGAAGACCACAGGGCACTAGTTTCCTGCCCCATCTCCATACCTCAAATCCCCGTAGTCTCCCCAGGGTCATCATATCATTGCAGCGCTTAGGCACGAAGCACATGACCTCCACAGCTTGCTGGGACACAGGTGAGAGGCATATTGTTGGGTGAAGAGTCATTGGGAAAGAGGGCTCCTCAGCCAGCTGTCTTTTCAGACTGTGTCTCAACCCCAACATGCAACCCCTTAAAAACCAGTCAGCTATAAACCACCCAAGGGGCTGAGGGGACCCCCAGGATTATCAGGATAAGGTATACATGGTGTACATAGGGTCCTCACCTCCAGCTCTTCAGTATCCATCCCGGCTCTACCGTAATACTTGAGAAAATCCTAAGACAGAGAAGACCTTGAGGACGCCCTCAGAAGCTCTTCCATCCTCCCCTGAGGACACAGGGGAGGATCTCCAGGAAGTCTGAGGAAGCCTCAAGAACCCTGGGGAGATGAATGAAGAAAGGCTAACCCCCCCAGCTGTGCCCCCCGGAGGGGAGGTGGTCCTGACCTTGAGCAGCAGCTGGTACTTCATGATCCGCTGCACAGGTTTGATGAGGAGGTCGCTGAGCTGCAGGCGGTGCCCCAGCTGCTGCCGGAGCTCCTGGGGACAGGGACAGGGTGGCTGTGCAGCCTGGAAAGCCTGCTCAGGACGATTCTGTCCTTCCCCCTAAGGCACCTCAGCCACTGACCTCAAAGTAGCTGTCCCCAAACTCTGACACCACGTGCTCTGACTTGGGCTTATTCTGACAGTACACCACATACATGTGCAGCCGGCGCTCCTAACAGGGGTAATATTTAAGGGACAGATTACTTGGGCAAGGCAGGGAGGGCACAATTCCAAAGAACCCCGAACCCATTTCCAAGCCCCGCCCCTTATAGGCCCCGCCCTCCCAAGCCTCACGTGTTTGATGAATAACTGAGCCAGCCAATCAGGATCTTTCAAACAGCGCTGTAGTTCCTGTAGGAAATAGCTGAAGGGGTTGGCAGGAGAAAGGTGGGTCAAATACATTTCAGAGCTTCTACCTTCCCCACCCCCACCCCTCCAATTCAAAGCTGTCTGCCCTAAAATCTCCTCCTAAAAACTTCTCCAAATGTTCCTTAGGTCACAGTGGACCCCAGTTGGGATGCAGAGGCAACCAGATGAGGTCCCCTCCCAGCACCTGGCTCTCAGGGCTTCACCACTCACTCTCGGTGCCACTCATAAATTTGCTGGATGTTTCCAAACACGATCCTATCACGGCCTCGAAGACTCTCCGGAACTCCCTGTGCCGTCATGGTGGCCATGTAACCCTGTGAAAAAGTTGGGACTGGTGCATGATCAAGCGGTGCTGATTTGGTGGGAACCTCCCTCCCTAGACCCTCTCCCACCTCCCAGAAGTCCAGGAGCAGAGAGGAGTGGGTGTGGAAGAGGGGACTGGGCATCCCCTGAAAATAGCTCTGGGCAGAGGGAAAGGGCAGGGAGGGGAAGGGGTAAAGAGAGCTACCTCCACAATCTGCCCCAAGTCGTCCACATACATTTTCTCTGTTTCTACCAGTTCACTCAGGACATACCTAAGAATTAAGCAGGAGGGTGCCCCTACTTCAGAGTCTAGGCACATCCTTGGTTTAGCCAGTTCCTCCCTCCTTGATTACAAGCCACCTCAGAGAGAATTCCATCTAAAATGTGAGGGACAATCTTCTGGACATTGTGGGATTGTAGGGGGTGTGGGAGTGGTGGGAAGGTGTGAACACTTACATACTCCTTTCCAGAGCCTTCTTCTTCTGTTCCTCCTCACTCTCAGGGGCTTGGGACAAAGTCTCTTCTTCAGGTTGCTGAAAGGAAAGAACATCTTAGGGGAAGCAAATGAATGTCTCTTGGGTGAGCAGAGTGTCCCCAGACCCATTTCTTCATACTTGTGTCTTATTTCCAGGGCCCTCCAACAATGTTGTCAGTAAGGTCAATTCTGGCAGCTCCTCTCCTGTGGCTAAAGCTGGATCCAGCATCCAGTTCTAAGGGCCAGAGGTCAAGTGTCAGAGGTCAGGGACAGCAGCTTGGTCTCCCAATGACCAGTGCCCCCGAGTGGCCTTCATGGATGTCCTACATGCTTTTGTGGAGTTCCCTGCTAACCTCATATGGTCCCGCCTGACCACGATCTGCCTCAGTTTCCACACTGAGACAATGTTTGGAATGATCCAACCATCTCCGTAGGCCCCTGACTGGCCCTGGGGGGCCAGGGGAACAGGGACTAGAGCTGAGGCCAGAGCTGGGGCCAGAGGGGGCAGCCAGACCCGAGGCAGCAGAAGCTGATATACTCCCCTCACTGCCAGCAATGGAATAGGGTTCTAATGGGGAGGAAAAAGAAAAGAGGTGATAGACATTCCTCCAGCTGCAGACTCAGGGTCCCCAGGGAACTCTCAGGGTGTCCTCTGGGTATTGCGATGCCTCTCTCTGAGCTCACTCTCTTGCCACCCTCATTTGAGTTGGCCAGGATAGAAAATTTCACCAGGGCACCCTTGGGAGGAAGGACAGTAAACACCTGGCTCCCCAGGTCTGGAACCCCCAGTTACATGTGGAGGTTCCCCATCTCCTGAGCACAGCATGGATATGGGGGTGGGGGAAGCCATCTGGGCAGACACTAGAAGCAGGGGTGGCCATCTGCTCTGCCACAACCCTCCCCCTTCCAATAGGTACAGACCATTCTCTTGGAAGGGGGGAAAGCTGAGAGTCCATCTGCCACTCCCAGACCCCTCCACCAATTTCAGTAATCACTATAGAAAGAAAAGATTTCTGCAGCCCACCTCCCCAACACATGCACAAACTCAATAGAGGGGTTCACGGAGGAGAGCTCATCCCTTTACCTCTGGCCTGAGCTCAGAGACAGCAGAACTCATTCTGCATTCCTCCATTCTCCTGCCCCTCTTTAGAAGTAGATTCTCAGCAAAAGGATTTGAGGGGAGATACGTGATTCTAAGCTTAAGGGGATTGTAGGTGGGTTTTTCTCATATCCAGGAGAAACTACAGGAAAGAGGTGGATCCCCTGACCCGTCCCCAATTTCCTTAACATGAGAGATTTGGAGGCAGAAGGGATCTTAGAGCTCATCTATTGAGTCACTTTCCTGGAAAACACGTTTACAGTCTCAAGCTCTAAATCCCTAGGACCAGGGCAAACAGATGCTCTGAACCACCCCCTCCAACCCCCATTCAACACCGAGTCCTTTCAACCTCTCACTCACCACGTCCCCCCCGGGCGAAGCAGCAGCCGCATTTTGCCAACAGTTTTCGGATCACACGGGGACAGGCACAGCGACCCCCCTTGTGCCCCCCCCGCATGGCGCCCGGGCCCCCCCGCACCCCCCACCCGGGCCGGCCATGCAGGGGGAATCACGGGGGGCGGGGCGGGGACGGCGCAGGGTGCACACCCCCCCTCCCTCCTACCCCGGTCCAGGCTGGGGGAGAGGGGGAGGGAGGGGACTGGGAGGAGGTGTCCAGGGGTAGGCGGAAGTCTGGACTGGAAGAGGGTTGGGGGCTCTGGGGAGAGGGCAGTGCGGGGCCAGGTCGGAGCTGGGCCGGGAGGGTTTCCGGAACCCTGTTGGTGCGGGGCCCAGGGTCCAGATGTCCAGTCGTGGGGGAGGAATGGGGGGGAAGCAGTGTCGGGATGCGGCAGCCGCTCCAGCTCTGTCTCTGGCCTCTGGTTGAGGGTGGCTGTAGGCCCGGGTAGGGGAGGAGGCGGGGGGGGGGCGACCCCGTGCCACTGGCGCTGAGCGGGTCTGGGCCGAGCGGCAAGCAGAAAATAACAGGCCGGGCCGCGGTGCCGCCGCGGGGAGGGGCCTCTGAGAACCAACTCCGCCTTCTCCCTCGCGTTCCCCCGCCCGCTCTGGCCGGGTTCCCGCCTCAGTCGCCCCTCCCCCAGGCACCACCACGTTCCCACTCCAAGTCCCTAGCGCCTCTGCACCTCCCTCCCCGCAGCCTAGGCTCCACCGCCCCGGTTTCCCCTCCGTCCTTCCCTCGCGCATCTCGGCTTCTGACTGTGGAGCGCTGGGGTGGGGGTTAAGCCTGGCGGTAGGGTCTGCCCCGGTCGCCCCTCGGCCTCCTCGGTGGAGAGCACAGTGGATGGGGCCTTGGCCTGTGCAAAGATATCCTAAGGTTCCGGCTGTCCCTGCTAGCGCAGCGGTGGACCAGGGCCGCTGGTAGGGCGAGCTGTTTGTGGGGAACCCAACCCTGGTGCCGCCCTCTGGCCGGACCCTTCTTTCCTCCAGGCCCTGGGACTCCAGCTAAGACTAATCACCAATTAAGGCGAAGTCCCGGAGCCCAGGCTGGCGAGAGGCCAGGGGTGGGGCGCGGGGACACTCCGCCTGCGGGGCCTCAGGACTGACAGAGGTGGGGGACGCACACTGGACAAGAGGGCGAGGAGAAGCGTGCAGGTCTCCTAGTTTAAATAGGTCTCGTGCAAATTAGATGGGAACTTTATGCTAATAGAGCAGAATATTTTTGAATTCGCCACTTTGAGCAGAATGACAAATTGTGCCCCACCCCACCCCCAGCTTCTTACCGGGCTGCGGAGCCCAGGCGAGACCCTCACGTTCGCGATCCCCTCTCTGATCTCCCTCCGTACAGTCAGACTCTGGCTCCGTACCCTCCTGCCCTAAGGGGCTTCTCTTCGGTGGCTGCTAGGACAGAACGACTGTAAGGAACCCCCCTCCTAGGCAGCCTTGACCTCTCCCTTCCCCTTCTCCCTAGTGTCAAAATCCACAACTTTTTAAAAAAGTCTCCCAGAACGTGGTAATGGCCCTCGTAAAAGAATTGATGGATCCCTGTGACTGGCCCGCGGAACTCTTGTTTGCGGGTAAAGTTGAGTTGTAGGGTTCTGCCCTCTTGAAGGCCCGGAAAGATCCCCGACCCCACCGTGGTCCCTCTTTCTTACCCCCTCCGGCCCAGGGAGGGCGCATGCGCGCAGCATGCCCCCCATGACCCCCAGTATCCGGTCAGTGCGGCCAGGGGCGGGGCGGGGGCGGTCCGGGGGCTTCATGCTGGACCCCTACCCTTCTCCAACTTTCAGGGCCGAGGGGGCACGGAAGCTGGGGGGCTTCGAGGCCTGCGTGCGTCCGGGGAGTTCTGCTGGCGAATCCTCCCCCTGCCCGGCTCCGCCCCCACTCCCACCCCAGCCAAACTTCGCAAAGGGGATAGGGTTGTTCCTTTCTCTACAATCCTAGTTCAGCAACAAACCCCTCTTAATCCTGGTTCCAACTTGGAAGCATGACCAAGAGGTTCACAGTCTTATTACAGAGCTCACTCAGTACATCCTTTATCCCTAGGTCCTTAGGAAACAGAGGGGCTGTGAAGACACATGGGGATTTCCCCCATCACCTCCCTTCTCCTTCTCTATGTCCCCCACCCCACTCACCCCCACTCTGTCCATGGAACAGAAGGGTGTGGCCTAAAAGAGTTGCATATTTTACTTTATTTTTATTAAATTAAAAGCTACAGTCTGGCAGCGATTCCAGAACAGGGTAAGGAGGCTCCTTATAGGGGGGCTGAGAAGAGCAGGAAAAAGACAAGACTGACAGAGACTGAGACACAGGAGAGAAAGGACAAGGTTAAGGTAAGAGAATTCTATCCAAGCACAGCTGGCTCCATTGGTGTGGGGAGGGCTCACTTAGCCCAGTTCCTCCTTCCCTGCACCCAAGTTCAGCAGTGGAGCTCAGCAGTGGATCAGTAGGTGGGGTAGGGGCAGGGTGGGTGGGGTGGTTCAAGAGACCCTCCCCACTCCACCCAGGTCCTTTCTCAGCTTAGTAACTGGAGCACAGCACATACCAGAAAAAGCCAAGGGCAATGGAGAGGGCAGGGAAACCAGGAGTTATATACACAGGGGATTGGAGAGCAGAGCCTTAGAGATCAGCCTGTGCCCGGAGGGAGTGGCTCACACTGCACTGTAAAACTTGGCCAGTGGGGGACAGGGAAATGGATTGCCCCCTCCCACTCTGAACTCCCTCCCCAGTCGGACAGTTCCCCTACTTGTGTGGCATGGGGGCAGGGGGCAGAGAGGAGAACAGAGGCTTCCATTGGGTCCTAGTAGAGGAGGATGGCAGGGGCCTTGTCAAAGAAGATGTCGTTCAGTCATCTGTGATACCCTTGGCTCTCAGCTCCTCTTGCACCCGGGTCAAGTAGGTGGGGTCCGGGTACCCAAACCTAGGAGCAAAGAGAAATGAGGGTGAAGGTTAGCTGTATGGGCATGCTTATATTATTCCCATGCTCACCCTCAGCAGAGGACCTAGTCACAACCCCTTCCCACCTCCCCTGTGGCAAGGACCTCCAAACCCAAGATAACTTAGCCCAGTTTTGCTTATTTTTGTAGGTTAAGCTGGGCACATCAGGACCAGGTTAAACAGAGGAGAAACTGAGATGGAGTAGATAGTGGAATGAGGATTCCTTTCTCTCCTATCTGATTTTCATATATGCCTTGGGATCTTGGGGATAGTCCTCTCCTGTTAGGAGCTTCCAGAGTGAGGGGGTTCATGTAGTTCCCTCAGTGGAAATGGACAGAAGGGGGAGGAGCCAAAAGAAAGGAAGAGATGTCGCACAGCTGGGGTCCCCCTGTGCAGCTGGTCTTATGGTGTATGTCGTTCCAGGTGATGACATTTGGTCTCCCTGTGGTCATGGACGTGCCGATAGTGAAGGTGAGACGCTGGTCAAATGCCTTTCGGAACAGAGTCAGCACCTTGTTGCCCTCAGGGCAGTCCGGGAGGTAGGCCACCCTTGTGGTGCCAGGATACCGAACTCCTGGGTTTGGGTGTTCGGCCTAGGAGGAAGCAGGAGCAGAGTGGGCAGTGAGCAGTTGGACATCCAAAGGCCCATTGTGGCCAACCTTCTGTCTGTGCACCCCCAGCTAATGCTGGCAGGGTAGCAACATGTTCACAGCCTTCCATGGAAGGAGAGATTATAGGGCCTGGGCAGCAAGAGCCTATTTCTGGAGGTAATCCTCATTGTTAAGAGGTTCTTTCTGCTGTCTCAATCCCTCAAGTCTCAATCAGCAACAGATAGATTCTCAGAAGTGATGGAAGGAAGCTGGTCCTTATTCTCCAGGTAACTCAGCAGAAATGTGAAGACTCAGAATAATTTCTCTTTCAGATTTCCATTCACCACCAGAAAACACTCCTGATGTTACTCCCACTGTATAACCTGTTCCATTTTTCTATTACTCTTCTTTGGAGCTTCCTTGCCCCTCTGTAAACCAGAATTGGATACTACTCTTCACCAGCAGAAAGACCCCTGTACAGACTCCTGTTCTTACCTTACACTGGCATCAGGTTTTACTCTCTCATAAATCTGGAGTAGAGTAACACTCCTAGCTCTGCTAGGCTGGTCAAGTCCCTTCCTGTCATGCCTGCCTACGCCTAAGCCACCACTTCCACAAAATTGACCTCTGCCAAGAATATTTGTCAACATCTATGTTCATCATATGCAATTCCTTTCTGTCCTTTCTGATTTTCATGTATGCCTTGGGATCTTGGGGATGGGAAAACTGGGCCTCAAGGGGAGCTAGCCCCAGGGCACTGCATAGGGAGACACAGTGGGAGACAGCAAGACTGCACTGTATCTCACATATTCATATCTCACCAATTGGCTCAGCCTTCCCAGTTTTCCTAGGTCAGAGCTTGGGGAAAACCAAAGGGTGAAGGGAGACTGTAGTCTTCTTACCCCCTGAACACCGGGCGGGAAGACGTACTGGATGACAATAGTGCCGTATTTCTCGTAGCTGGGCAGCAGGAGGGTGGCGTCCTTAGAGACCAGCATCCGCCCATTCTGGGGCTGGTTGCCCACCAGCTGCCCATAGAAGCGGCCACACATGGGGCAGGCCTTTTTCACCTGCAGGGCCCTGGTGATGCAGCCCTCGCAGAATGAATGCCGGCACTTCTCCAATGTCTTGGCGTTCTGGATCTCCCCCAGACAGATGGGGCAGGTGCTCTCCTGCTCATCTGCCTCCTCCCGAAGGCGGGGAGGAAGAGGAGGGGGCAGGGGAGGAGGAGGAGGGGGGAGCCCCCGTGCCCCTGGGGGCAAGAGGGGGGTTGCACGGAGAGGGGGTGGGCCTGGGCGGTGCAACTCAGGGTGCTCCCCTCCGCCCCCCAAAGCCAGGCAACCCATAAGCTCCCCCTGCCTCTGAGCTTTCTTCAGCTCTTTCTCTGCCTCCTTTAGCAGCCCCTTGAGAGCCTTCCGGGCCAGGTAGAGCCCATTGGGAGTGGCGGGGGGAGGACCCTGTGGGGAAAGCTGCAGCACGTAGATGTCAGAAGTTTCGCCATCAATGAGGATGGATACACGATGCTCCTCCCGAAGCCGGGCCAGCCGGGCTGGGGTCTCCTTGCTCAGGAAGTCCCACACAGGCTTGGAGACAGTCACTTTGTTCTTGCAGGTGCCTCCACAGGCTGCCATTCTGGACAGGACGAACGACACTGCCCCCAGGATGAAAGGGACTCAGGGTGGAGGGGTCCCCATTTGACAAATACCAAAGCCTCCTACTTCAGGTTCCTTCTAAACCCTGTGTTATTCCTATTCTCTCAAAGCCCAACCCCCAACCCTCCCCCAAACTCATTTTTTATCTCCCCTATCTTCCAAACACCAGCACCCACTGAAGAGCAGAAAAACTTCAGTAAACTTTTTTTTTTCTTTTTGAGACAGAACCTCAAGTGTCACCCTAGGTAGAGTGCCATGGCATCACAGCTCACAGCAAACTCCAACTCCTGGGCTCAAGCGATTCTCCTGCCTCTGCCTCCCAAGTAGCTGGGACTACAGGTGCCTGCCACAACGCCCGGCTCAGCCATCATCGTTTGGCAGCCTGGGCTGGATTCGAACCAGCCAGCTCAGGTATATGTGGTTGGCACCTTAGCCGCTTGAACCATAGGCACCAAGACAGCTTCAGTAAACTTTATCATCATCTTTTTTTTTTTTTTTTTTTTGTAGCACTCTATCGCCCTTGGTAGAGTACTGTGGTGTCACACAGCTAACAGCAACCCCCAACTCCTGGGCTTAGGCAATTCTCCTGCCTCAGCCTCCCAAGTAGCTGGGGCTACAGGCACCCGCCACAATGCCCGCTATTTTTTTGTTGGAGTTTGGCTGGGGCCGGGTTTGAACCTGCCACCCTCGGTATATGGGGCTGGCACCCTATCCACTGAGCCACAAGCGCCGCCCAACTTTATCATTATCTAAGCCAAACATCAGTGCTGGCTCTCTTTTCATTTCTACCATGATCACAGAAACAATCTGCCCCTCCCCACTCTGGATGACAAATGGGGTCTTTACAAGGGAGGGAGAATTTTTGACCCTTCTTTTGCTCACTTTGATCCTGAAGAGCTTAGAATTGGCATGCAGGCTCTCTCTCTCTCTTTCCCTGCTTCCTACTTGTAGGTTGTGCAACCTGGTAGAGAAGAAAAGGGAGGAGATTGAGAAACCCCTTCCCCAACTCCCCACAGGCCCCAACCCAGCAGCCCATGAGACAGGAACCTGGGTAGAGATTATCAGGAATGGGATTACTTGGAAAATGGAATACAGGAAATCAACTAAAGGGTAAAAGTTGAGGGTC